TTGTCTCCTTCACTCTCTCAGCTGATATCTGATCACAGAATTGTCTCATGAACAATGGTTGATAAGATGGAAGCATATTGCCAGGCGGTGGTGGCACACGCTTTTAATCCCAGCACTCGGGAGGCAGAGCCAGGCAGATCTCTGTGAGTTCGAGGCCAGCCTGGGATACAGAGTGAGTTCCAGGACAGGCGCCAAAACTACACAGAGAAACCCTGTCTCAAAAAAACCAAACCAAACCAAAACAAAACAAAACAAAAGATGGAAGCATATTTAATTGCAGCATCTAAGGCTCTTTATGGACTGGCACAAGAGCTGAACTGCCCACTGGGAGAGCAGATTCTGTGGTTTAGACCTTCAGTGTCCCCTAACCGGCATGTGTTAAAGGTTTGGCCTCCAGAGCGGGATTACTGAGAAGTTGTCTGAAGTTTATTTTCATAGAGCTGTGATGAAATAACCTGACAAATGCAGCTTAAGGGAGAAAGAGCTTGCTTAGAGTCACAGTTCCGGGGGGGTCAGTACATCCCAGCGGGGGGTGTCATAGGGCAGGAGCTTGAGGGAGCTGTCCACGTCCCTTCCCTAATCAGAAACAGAGTCACGGACGTGGGCTGCTGCGTGACTCCCTTCTCCATTCAGTGGTCCGGGACACAGCCGGGGAAACATGGGTGGGTCTTCCCGCTTCAATTAGTGCAAACAAGGTAGTCCCCTACAGGTGTGTCCAGAGGCCCACCTCCTCCCTGATTCTGAGAGTCTGTCAGGTTGGCACCATTAAGCATCACCCTTAAGGGGTGGGTCCTAATTCAAGTCCTTAAGTTATTTGAAGACTACCTTTCAAGGAGACTGTGGGAGCCTGGCTCTCTCCCTCTCTTTTGCTTCCTGGCTGTAAGTTGAGCACATGTCTCCACTATACATTCCTATGATGATGGGCTATTATTGTTCCACAGGCCCAAAGCAATGAGGACAATTACACATGGACTGAACTCTCCAAAAGTGTGAAGGAAAATAAAAATGTTCTCTATATGAAATTGATTATCAAAAGTATTTTATTTGCTTGTGTGTAGGGAAGGTATGTGTGCGTGCGTGCGTGCGTGCGTGCGTGTGTGTGTGTGTGTGTGTGTGTGTGTGTGTGTGTGTGTGTAGGTACATTTGCTCCTGTGTGCACACATGGAGGATAGAGGTTAATATTCAGTGTCTTCCTATATTGCTCTTTACCTTATTCCTGACTCAGGGACTTTCACTGAACCTGGAGCTCACTATTTTAGCTAGGTCGGGCTGGCCACCAAACTGTCTCCACCTCTCAGCTCTGGAGTTATGGAAGAGTACCACCATGCCTGGTTTTCTCACGGGCTCTGGGGATCCGAACTCAGGTCCTCACGCTTGCATGACAAGCACCTTACCCACTGAGCCGTGTTCCCAGCCCCTCACATTTGATATTTAATACAGTAACAGAAAGCTGATCAACATGGTAAGTAGAGTACCTGGGGCCCATGGGTGTTTTCAGGGGCCAATGATCATATTTTGGTTTAACTTCTTCTAAAGTAGAAGAAAAAGAAGATAACCGCAACTGTAGTAACGTGTCTGTCTGAGTTACGGTTATCTTTCTACCACTTCAGTTGCAAGTATACCTTCAGAAGAGGCCCACACAAGAAATCGAGTCTTTCTTAAGGCTTGTCATATAAGGCAGCTGTGGTGGTCTGGATGAGAATGACCCCCATGGGCTCATACATACGAATACTTGGTCCCTAGTTGGTGGACCCGTTTGGGAAGAGTGAGGAGGAAGGCTTTCAAAGGCCTATGCCATTCATTTCCTCTGCCTTATAGTTGAGGATCTAGATGTGAGCTCTCAGCGACCGCTCCAGCGCCATGCCTGCCTGCCTGCTGCCATGCTCCCCACCATGATGGTCATGGCCCCTAACCCTCTACCGTCGGGAACCCCAAATTAAATGCTTTCTTGTGTATGTTACTCTGGTCATGAGGTCTTATCACAGCAATAGAAAAGTAATTATGAAGACAGCATACCCCGTTAACTTTGAATTCCATATAAACAATGAACATTCCAGTCTGAATTTATTATGAATATTACATGGGTGGTATTCATTATAAAGAAATATGTGGCTGGGTGTGGTAGAGCAAGCTTACAACCACAGCCTTGGGAGGGCTGAGGTAAGAGGATTGCAAGTTCTAGGCCAGCCAGAGCCACATAATGAGACTCTGTCTGAAAAAAAAAAAAAGAGAAAGTTTATTTGGAATTCAAATAAAACAGGCACCCCGTGTTTTATTTACTAAATCTGGCATCCCTACAGGGAAGTCAGTGTGGCTCTGGCTGGCGTCAGCTGTGGCTGCAACCCCCCCTTCCCCTGCTCCTTGAGGGTCTTACATTAGGCTTCTCAGACGCAGCCCTTACAATGGGGATTTCTGGGCCAGTGCTGTAGTTCAGGAAGTGTTCCCAAGAGAGACTCAGTGAGGAAGCAGGAGCAGGACAGGCAAAGGTGAGGCTCAGGCCAGGTCCCCCCCCCCTCCGCCAAACACACGGTAACCTCAGAAGTGTCCCAGGTGGAGGAGTTGAGCAGTGTTTCGTCAGAGCCGGGGCAGGAGCAGAGGCTGGTGTGAGCTCGACTGGTTTTATTCCCTGACCTTTCCATAGATCCAAAGGGAAATGATAAGTCAAGCTCATAAAATGGGGATGGATACAGCTTCCTCGTGCCAACCGTATGTCACAAGAGAGGCCTATTCCTCACAGAGGGACCCTACACCTCATGAAAGGGGCCTATTCCTCACTGGGAGGCCCTATACCTCATGAAGGGGCCTATTCCTCACTGAGAGGGCCCTACCTCACAGAGGGCCTATAGCTCATGAAGGGGCCTGTTATCTCACTAAATAGCCTGTACCTCATTGTGGGTCCTGAGCCGTACAGAGAAGACCTAGACTTACTGAGGAGTCCATACCTCAGTGACTGGCCTATAACTCACTGAAGGGCCTTCATCTCCCAGAGAGGTCTATACCTCACACAAAAGCCTGCATTTCAGTGATGGAAGGGGCCTGTACCTCACAGAGGATCCTATACCTCCGTAAGGAAGCCTATACCTCACTGAAGAGGCCTGTACCTCACAGATGGTATGAGTCCTATGCATCACTAGGGTACCTATACTTCACTCAGCGAGGGGGCCTACATTTCACAGAGAAACCCATGCCTTAGAGGGGCCTATACCTCAGAGAGGAGCCTGTACTTCACAGAGGGACTTTGATTTCTCAGAGGAATTATGTCAAAACTCCTGAGAGGCTGGCTTATTACCATAGAGATAGCTTCTTGGTCCCACTCTCCCTTGTTTGACCCTGTCACTGCATCATTAAGAGTATTCAGCTGCTCTCTCTCCTCTCTAGGCAGACTGCATCTGAGCCTTGTCCCCAGCATCCCCGTGTCCCGTTCATCACACCCCTATTGTTCTCCGAGCACGCCGTTCACCTCCTCACCCTGTCATCTTCCTCCTAACACTTGTTCTTCCTGGAAAGGCATTCTTGCCCTTTTCTAAATGGCTTTTATTCACTCCCCCCCCCTTTTTTTTTTTGAGAAGGGGTCTTGCTACGCAGCCCAGGCCAACCTGGAACTTTCTATGTATCTCCAGCTGGCCTCAGACTCCCTGAAATTCTCCTGCCTCAGCCTCGCTAGTATTGGGATTGCAGGCTTGTACCACAAGGCTTGGCCTGGCTCCTCGGGCGCCTCCCATTCCTCTGCTTGTCTGAGAAGTGACTTCTGCTGTACTGATGAGTGTCCTGTCTGCTCTCTGACTCCCTGTGGCCTCTGCTCTGGCAGGGAGTGGATCTTATTCATTTGAATATTCCCAACACCTCACCCCTAGTGGTCGCTTAATTGTTTGCTGAAAGAATAGATGGATGGATGATGGATGGATGGATGGGTGGGTGGGTGGGTGGATGGATGGATGGATGAAGATATTTAGCCTGTGACTTTGCCCAGATAGATACTTGGCTACAGCTGGCCAGTGCTGCATTACTGTAGGCAATGGGTATGTGTGCTGACTGTGGCAGCAGAGGCACTGAAGATAAATAGAGAAAAGCAAACCAACAAACTTCATTCCTCTCTAGAGATGCTGGCTTCCACATCTGGACCCCACCCTGAGACCTTTCCCAGCCCCACAGGAGTATCCCGGTGGATGAGTCTGTGATCCTCCTTATCTATCTATCTATCTATCTATCTATCTATCTATCTATCTATCTATCTATCTATCTAACACCTGTGTGTGTGTGTGTGTGTGTGTGTGTGTGTGTGTGTGCATGCTGTATATATGGGAGTGGGCACACATATACCACACGGTGTATCCATGAAGATCAGAAGGCAGCTGTGGAAGTTGGTTCTCTCCTTCTATCATGTGGGTCCCTGGGATCAAACTCAGGTTGTCAGGCTTGTGTAGCAGGTGTTCTTCCCCACAGAATCACCATGCCGGCCCTGATGATTCATCAGCATCTCTGTATCCAGGTGGAGGATCCTGGCCCTGGTCCATCTCCAGTTCTAGTTTAGAATGGAGTATTTGCCCACTCTTCACCAGCCCCTCCCTGTTGGGGCTCTTCCCCCCCCCCCACGTACTGTCTCCCAGCTTAGTGTGAAGGGAACCAAGAAATCCTATGACCAGGTTTGACCCTTCTACCTCGAACACCATCCTTCATCAGATTTACATTCATATGTCCCTTTGGACATTCTAAGTGCCTCCTGCCTCTCTGTGGCCTCAGCTCACTGGAAGGACCATTGCTATGGAAAGGCTGCAGGAGCTGAGCTGCTGACTGACTGGATAGCTCTCACTGGGCTTGAATCTGGTATCTGGCAGCTGAGTGGCCTTAGCGAGGTTATTCATCTAGTGTCCTTATCCAACCATGGTACTAATACCATAGGACTGATGGTACTGAATGAGGCCATGTAATAGCTGCATGGAACATGGGCTCCATACTTGTTGTTTTTTCCTTACCTGATCCTAGATTTACATTCCCTACAGATTCTGGCAATCCAGGGCTCAAAGTGGCTTGCCGTCTGAGAAAGATCCACAAGAGAGGTATACACTATGACCCAAGACTTCTTCCATTGTTCAGGGCAAGGGAGAGGGCCATGCACCACATGGACTTGGCTGCAGACACAGCAAACAACTGAACAAAGATGTTGGGCAAGGAGCACCAGGTGCTGAGCAAGGGTCCGGAGTGCACAGCTCATTCCGACCAGGTGGAAAAGACAATCATTCTTTTTTTTTTTTTAATTTTATTCATTTTATTTTATAACACCATTCAGTTCTACATATCAGCCACGGGTTCCCCTATTCTCCCCACTCCCGCCCCCTCCCCTTACTCCCAGCCCACCCCCCCTTCCCACCTCCTTCCAGGGCAAATCCTCCCCTGAGGACTGCGATCAACCTGGTAGACTCAGTCCAGGCAGGTCCAGTCCCTTCCTCCCAGACTGAGCCATGTAAGACAATCATTCTTAGGGGTCACAATGAAACACGCTCCTTTTGGAGGGGGCCAAAGGGGACTGAACGGCAAAGGGGAAATGACGAGAAGAAAAACTGGAATGCTATCTTCACAGCTGGTCCAGGCTCAGTAGGAGGCGACGTCTGTGCAGGTGGGTCATCTCTAGCACCCTCCGCTGCTCCTCACCCCCTTCAAAGACTTGCTTTCTGCACGGTCCAGTAGGTACTGCAGCGCCCCTCAGGAAGAGGGCTGGGCATCGTGTTGTAGCCATTTCCTACCCTTGCCACTGACCACAGGCTCTGCCTCCTTTTTCTCGTGCCTTTTCCACAGCCAAGTCCAGAGAAGGGTCTGAACAGTTAGCGATGGCTGCCCTCCCTCTCTAGTTTGATTCAGATTGCCCCTGTGCAGCCCACATCCATGCATCCATGCATGCATGCATCCATCCGTAGGTTGATCCTTCATTATCTGGCTACTCGCTTATCTCCCAAATATCACCTATAATACTCCAAGCACAGAGGGGATACAGGGGGACTTAAGAAGGGCCAATCAGTTCCCTTGGTGCAAGAAGGAAGCTGTCAATAAATGACTTTAGGATGCTGCCACAAATGGCTATTCAGGGTGCTATGGAACACAAGGTTTGAGGGACTGGGACTGTGGGTCACTTTAAAAAAAAATGCATACTAGCTTGTCTCAAAGGATGAGTCAGAGTGTGCCCAGATTTACAGATGTTCAGAAAACATCTAAGCAGAGACCAACAGGACTGTGACAATTTGAATAGGAAGCATTCTTCCAAAAGGCGTATGGTACCAGTACAGCAGGGTTCTGAGGTGGGCTTTTTAGAAATGAGTGGACCATAAGGGTTTTGACCTCATGAATGGATTGACCAATTGACTCAATGGATTCATTATTTTTGGTCGTTACCTGATACTCTAGGAAGTGATGCCCAGTGGGAAGAAGTAGGGTATAGGGGTGCGGGTGGGGTGGGGTGCCTTTGAAGGGTCTATCTTGTGTTCTCCTACTCCTCATTCCTGTCAGTCATGAGATGGGCAGCTCTGCACGGCCACACCCTCTCTATTATTATGTTCAGCTTTGGCTCAGGCCCAAAGCCATGGGGCCCAGTAACCTCAGACCAGAACCTCTACAACGGTGAAGCAAAATAAGTCTTTTTCACCCCCAAGTTGCTCCTCTCAGGTATTTCTGTGACCCTGATGAAAGCTAAGGAACACGATGGCCTCGGATGCTTGGATGCCCAGATTTGCCTGGCTTCCGGGAGAGCCTATCCGGTTTGGCTATCATGTAGGGTATTTGGAGAATAATAAGAGTTGGAGCTACAGAGGCAGGGTAGTGAAGACTGGTTAATTTATTCACCAAATATTTACTAAGAACTTACTATGTGCCAGGACTGGTCTATGTGTTAGGGACAGAATGGTTAAATGTTGACTGTTTCCTATTCTTTTAGGTATTCCCCTAAGAATGACATTTAAATTTTTTTTATAATTATTTATTGTTTTATGAGTCTGGGTATTTTGCCCACATGTATCTCTGTGTACCACATGCATGTCCATGGAGGCCACAGGAGGGAGTTGGATCCCATGGAACTGGAGTTACAGATGGTTGTGAGTAACTGTGTGGGTGTTGGAAATCGGACCTGGGTCCTCTGGGAGAGCAGCTAGTGCTCTTAACTGCTGAGTGAGCTCTCCAGCCTCTCAAGAATGACATTTTGAGATGCCTTTCTTTAATTCAAATGTCCTGGCTCTTAGAAGAATTAATATCTTGAGAACTTAAACAAGATGTCATTTGTTAATGCTCATGAAGGACGGCCTGGCTGCTGGTTCCCTTCAGCCGTGGTTCTAATGGGATCTGTTTCCATCTTAAACATTTGTTTGGGTATCGCCTTCACCCCTCAGGAATCAGCCATCTCCAGGTGGCTCCCAGGCTTCCTGAGTGGTCACAGAAGCAAACTGGCTTGGTCTCCTTGACCTAGAAATGAATGGGTAAGTTTGTGAACAAAAACCAAAGTCCATATTGCCAGTTCTGGTTCCTAGTTGGAATGATTCAAATGAGCCCGAGGGGACCAGGGCCGATAATTAGAGACTCCTGGCTTCTGACCTCAGCACCTGCTTCAGGACATGGGAGGACCGATGTTCCATGGCCATTTGGAGGACAAACGCAACACTATTTCCTCATTTGCCACAGTCTGGTCTCCTAGATAGCTGAAGGAAACTTTAGAATTCTTTCACACCAGGCATTTCATATGTCTGCACAGAGCTTGAGAAATGTTGCTGGATTTTCCTAGCTGTAGTGGTACAGTCCAAAAGGGAAACAACAACAACAACAACAACAACAACAAAACCCAAAACATACTTTCTTGTCCTGATAGATCTGAGTTCAAATCCTGCCATTTCTTAATTCTATGACCCAGACAGTTTAAGCAAACTTGGAGACTAATTTCCATCCTTTGTTTTATGGGGCTGTATGGAATATCAAAGGATGTTTATGTTTTTGGCCAAGGCTTCAAAATACTGATGGGAAAAAAGTAACAGGGGGCAGGATTGAAGAAGTGGCTCAATAGTTAAGAGCAATTACTGCTCTTGTAGGGGACCAGAGTTCAGTGTCCAGCACCCACATCAGGTGGCTCGAAACTGCCTGTGACCCCAGCTCCAGTGGATCTGAAGCCCCAGCCTGGTGTGTATCAGCACTGCACTCACGTGCACAAACCCACACTCACACACACGTTCACATACGTAGTTCAAAGTAAATCTTTAAAAAAACCAACCAGCAAGGTGTGGGAGTGAACGCCTTTAATCCCAGCACTAGGGAAGCAGAGGCAGGTGGATCTCTGAATTTTTTTTTTTTTTTTTTTGGTTTTTTGAGACAGGGTTTCTCTGTGTAGTTTTGGTGCCTGTCCTGGATCTCGCTCTGTAGACCAGGCTGGCCTCGAACTCACAGAGATCCGCCTGCCTCTGCCTCCTGAATGCAGGGATTAAAAGCCTGCACTACCACTGCCAGGTGGATCTCTGAATTTGAGCCCAGCTTGGTCCACGGAGTGAGATCCAAGACAGCCAGGGCTACAAGGAGAAATCCTGTCTGGAAAAACAAAATAAAACAAAACAACAACAACCACATCAACAACAAAAACAAAATCCAAAACCCCAAAACAAACCAACAACAACAAAAACCAAACAGACAAAAAAAAAAAAAAAAAAAAAAAAAAAAAAAGAATAGGCATCCAGTGTGTGGGAACGCAAATGAAATGCACAGCCCTTTCTAGCAAAGGGTTAAATGAGACAAAGGACGCTCCATCTTTAAAGAAATCTGTAAAGACACATTTGGCAGGGAGCCTCCCCGGTCAGCGTTTTTCTAAGGTCAAGGTACACGCTCAAGGTTGCCTCATGTTCTCCCAAGTCGCTGCTTTAATTTAGCCAATCACAAAAGAATGTGAGGCTGATCTCTGACCACTCAGAGTGGGGCACAGGATCCTTTTGCATCAGGAATGAAAACTCAGCTGACACTTGCTGGGAGTGCTTGCCAGCCTGACCTGGCCCAGCTACGCAGCTGCACGCAGAAATGACACTTTCTGCCTTGCCAGAATACGTAGGACTGTGTGGTCATTTTGTTGAGACCCACTCCACCCGCCACCTATTTCTAACCTTTCTCCTGAAGTGTTAGACAAGACAAGGCCTTAAAGGATGCATCCTGGGACTGACCTTGAGACACCGGACTCCAGCTTTCGTCAAAGGGATACCCAGAGCCTTAGAAGTTAAAGCTAGATTGAAAGCTGCCAGTGAGACAGGGGATCAATTTCCACTGGGAGAGTGCTTCCCTCTTACTACAAATTTAGAGAGTAACAGTCAAAGAAACCCTGATTCCTAGAGTGGGGCATAAGGCGCATGAATTCCTTGCTAATGCAATAAAGCAAGAAAAGTGAAAGGTATATGGATTGATTGTAAAAGAGGAAATAAGACTGTCTCTATTCAAAAATGGCATCACTGCATTTAAAAAGTCAAAAGAATTTGCAAAAAATAAGCAACTAAGAGATAACAGACAAGCTTAGCAAGACTGCTTGGTGCCAAGTTAAAACACTAAACTCAGCAGGATGCTTACAGCCTACCAACGAACACTTAGTAGGCTTTTTATGAAAGTTCTATCAGCTGGATGCAGTGGTATGCACTTGTTTCCCAGTCACTGGTGGAGGCTAAGGGAAGAGGAGCCTGTGAGACCAGGAGGTCAAGGCTTGCCAGGTATCCTAATAAGACCTGTTTCAACTAAATAAATAAACAAGTAAGTAAATTTAAAAAAAAAAGTAGTTTTCTCTTGTATTTCATCTTGGAGTTTCACAGCATGTTACTTTGCAACTCTTTTTGAGCTAATTCTAGGGGATTAGGGAAATGGCTCAGTGGTTAAGAGCACATACTGCTCTTGCAGAGGACCCCAATTTGGTTCCCAGCACCTTTGTCATGTGGTTCACAACAACTTGTAACTCCAGCTCCAGGGGATGAGTCTAGCGCCCTCTTCTGACCTCCATAAGTACCTGCACTCATATGCACATACCCCTCACCACATACACATGATTAAAACTAAAATAAAGTAGCCATAGTTTTATACATGGTAGAAGACTGAGCTCTTGGTCTAATGTTCTGTGTGTGGTATATGTGTGTGTGCATATGTGTGTACTAGCCCATCTATGCATGTGGAGGCCAAAAGTCAATGTTGGGCATCTTCCTCTACTGCTTTCCATCTTAGTTTTTGAGTTATGGCCTCTCACTGGACCCGGCAATTGCTATTTTAGCCAGATTGGCTGGCTAGTGAGCTTCCAGGATCGGCCCATCTTGGCTCCCCAGCGTTGAGATTACAAATGAACAGCGCCATGCCCAGAATTTTTACGGAGGTGCTGGGATCTAAACTGAGGTCCTCATAATCGCACAGCAAGCAGCCTGCTCACTGAACTGTCTTTCCAACCCGCTTTTTCTTTGCCGATTTTTCTTTGTCGTTTGGTGTTGAGGATGACAATGTTGTCTTGAGGACCCCACAGAAGCCTCGAGGGAGGACAGTTCAGGCAGCTGCTGAAGCTGACTCTCCTGCCTTTGGCCTCTGTCTCCATCCTGGGTCAGCTTGGGGAGCCACATGAAGCTCCCTGAAGAGGTGGGGGTGACATGAGGGACTCCCAAAGGGGAGTTAATCTGGGGGACCTCTAGAATCCAGGAACCTCCGCTTCCAGAACTCAGTAAGAGAGAGATGAAATATAATGAAAGTCTTTCAATTTCCTTTTGCATAAGCATGAATTATTCACCAAAGATCTAAATTCTGCTTTATTACAGCTTTAGATTTATCAAGGGGAGAAAATTCCTTTTCTTTTTCGTCTCCTCTAGAGAGGAAAGACGACCTCGCCCTGCTCATCAGCATAGTGTAATGTAGTGGTCACCTTTAACAGTGGAGAAGGGCAAAGTGCCCATGGGCAAGGAGCCAAGCAGTGTGGCGATCAACATATGTCCTGAATGATTACGCTGCCACACCTCTGCCCAGATGTGGCCAGGGTCGTCTCTGTCAGAGAGGATCACACACAACCTTTTGTGATGACCTTGATGCCAGCTGTTCCCTTTGTTTTAAGAACATTGCTGCTCTGACCAACTTCCATGCTGATTCTGGAGTGGCCCAGCGAGGACCCTGCAAATGCCTTCTGACCTGGGCCGTGGAAGGGAGACGATACAACGGCAGTGGAGAACTCAAGGTCAGGTTTGAGCTCCTGCCTCCACTGTGTGAGTGCCGAGTTCTCCGCGTCTGTGATTCTCCATCCCACGATCCCGGAGGCTCAATCACCATTAGCCGGGCTGTGTGTAGTAGGCGACTCTGACCCACGAGAGACAGTGCCCTCCGGTATTTGGGCTCATTCTGTCGGAAAAGCTGCCGGGGTGCTCTGACAACCTGAGGAGTGATGTCAGATTTAATTTGGCTGCAAGGGCTTTGCAAACCTGAGGTGCGACATATTCCAGAACCTGAGTAACTGTTGTTGTTATTGTCCTTTCCCCGAGATTACAGCTTCGCAAGCATTGTTTACGACCTTGGGTCTAGTCCCTATGCCCCAGTGAAGGATGACTGGTTGGCTGTGTTGACACTGATGTCCCATGATTCTCTGAGGGTGAAGACTTCAGAACAAGGAAGGGGAAGGAAAGGAATCAAAAACATCTCACCTTATATGTAGTCTGGGTACAATTTAAATACCCACATGTGTTGTCCCCCTTGTCACCTAACTGGCACAACAGTGATGAGGTCACATGCTTGTGTCTCTGTATTAACTGCAATGGTTTTTTTTTTTTTCTTCTGCAAGTATGAGATATCCCAACTTGAGACCATGTGACGGAGAAGCCCAGAGAGTGGGAGAGCTTCAGGCACATCTGGATCCAGGTGTTCATATCACGGAATGAGGATGCAGTCTCCAAGTTTTCACTTCATCTTAGCTGAAAGGTGGAGAAGAAATCAGCTGCTGTTTATTTTTCCCGTGTGGAACCCAGGGCCTCACACATGGTAGGAAGTGCTCTACCACTGAGCCCCAGGCATGTGTTTGACTGTTTAATGAGATTGAGTCTTATTAATTTCATGGGCAGGCCTTGAGCATTCAGTCTCTCATCTCGGCCTCCCAAGTAGCTGGGATGATAGGCCTGCACCACACAGCCTGACTAATCTCCAGTTTTAATTTTACTTGTGCCTGGTTTTGAACTCTACACTGGGAGATCCTTCCAGCTTTCCAGAATTACTAACTGTTGAGCCAACAGTTCCAACTCCATGCAAAGACAGCTCATTTTTCTCAAGAACACCAACAGACCTTTGGTGAATTCCAGGACAGGCAGGACTACAGAGAGAAACTTTGTTCCAAAAAACTGACAACAACAAAAAGTCAAGGAAATGGTCCTGGGCTTAAATTAGGTGATTTCTGTAAAATGAGGTGAATACAGAGAGCATGTGTACAAGTCACAAGCACTTAGTTGATTGTTCTTTGTTATAATAATCCATCAGTTAATATTACATTTCTTAGGTTGTTTTTTGTTTGGTTTGCTCTGACTTTTGGTTTTTTTGAGTCAGGGTTTCTTTGTGTAGCCCTGGCTGTCTTGGAACTCACTCAGTAGACCTGGCTGGCCTCAGAGATCCACCTGCCTCTGCCTCCTGAGTGCTGGGATTAAAAGCATGCACCACCACTACCTGGCTTTAGGTTTTGTTTTTTGAGACAGAGTCTCATTGTATAGCCCATGTTGGCCTGGAACTCACAATCCTCCTGCCTCAGCCTCCCAAGTGCTGGGATTACAGGTGTGCACCATCTTTTATGGCTTTATTTATTGTATTTTAAAATGTCTTTATGGAGAGTAGATTAATCTCTGTATGTCTGGTGTCAAATACAACACCCAATGCTTAGGAAACATGTGACAACCTCTATGGGATTAAAGAGTGAATCAATATGGACATGGAATACTGAAATGCACTACATTACGTCTAAAAAGAAATAGAAAGTTTAGGTTAATTTTATTTAATTAATTGTTAAAGCTCATTTTAGGTGGTGATGTGTGTGTGTGTGTGTGTGAGAGAGAGAGAGAGAGAGAGAGAGAGAGAGAGAGAGAGAGAGAGAGAGAGAGAGCAGGAACATATGTGCCATGCTGTACCTGTGGAGTTCTGGGAGTTGGTTCTGTCCACCCTGGTTGATCTCTTGGTCTCTTGATGCTCTGGCCTCAACCTCCCGGCGCAGAGATTACAGGGATGACCTTCCACGCCCACTCTCTGATGAGTATAATATCCCCCGGTAGTGGGACACTCCACTGATACAATAAATCAGATCAGGCCAAATCAAACCAAATTAAAGTCCAGGTTTTAATCTCAGCAGAGCATTCCCGGGTGGTCCCAGGGTAAGAGGAGAACCCCTGCA